GGATCCGTATACAGAAATAATAATATAAATATAGCCAACTTTATAAGTTTGATTTTTTTATAAGTTACTACTTCATAAGTTTGAATTTTATTTTTGTAAGTTTCAATTCTATTTTTTTTATTTTTATAGGCCTTTTTTTATAAGTTTGGTAAATTGAAGCCAATTTCATAAGTTGGTTGTATAAACAACTGAACAAATAGGCGTAATAGAAACAGCTAGAATAAGAAATGCATAAAAGTAAAATAGGAACAACTAGGACAAGGATGGTTCAGTGCAGCAGTAAGCAGTATAAGTCTAGTTCGAATGCTGCAAATGCATGCTGTTTTATGCGAAGTTTAAATTCAGATCAGTGCTATCAAATCCTCTCATAAATTCCACCTCTTAAGGGAGGGACGAGACATCAAACGTCTCGCTGAGGAATAATGCGTTTTTCAAAACGGCAAAGCAGCTCGAGCAACAGCATTTTATCAAAAGCGACAACCAGTTGGCAAGACTTTCGATGATTCTCTTTTTTAAGACACATTTACAGATAAAGTATGCCACTTATCGCTACATCAAAACTAACAATATGTTTTGAACAGGGGCGAATTCAGAGTGGCGTAATGGGAGGGGGAGGGAGAAAAGGGGAGGAGAAAGGAGTGAGGATCCTGGAGAGGGGGGAGGAGGAGGGGTCGGGGGTACGGAGGAGAGTTTCCTATAGTTTTAACACTGTTACTTATGCCACGGAGGAGGGGGAGGGACAAAAGATATCGCTTCCCAACCTCCTCCCCCTAGACCCGCTTATGGTTTTGAATATCAAATGAATAAGATTTCAGAAAGGAAACGGAATCAGAGATCTCCCCTATCAAGTAAAAAGTCAAAATCCTCCGTAATTGGTTCACCATGAGAAACGAAGGCATTCAAAAATAGCCTGAATGGTAGCAGGTGTGCCAATAGCGACCACACGTTGCCAGGGGCAGTCACTGATGGGTCCCTTATGCCTTAAAAAATCATGAATAACATACAAGGAATCCAGAGATGTGTAACTGATGCATAGCGGTATTAAGCTGGGCGAGCAGATCCAGCATCGACTGGAGAGCTTCTTCAACATGAGATCGAGCTTGTTCATCACAGTGACGGTGCATTTCCTGCAAAACCAATGCTAAAAGTTTTTTAGTGAATAATAATCATGATGACAAAGGTTATCATCATCATCAACAACAATAATAATAATGATAATAACAATAATGACAAAGGTTTGCTTTAATAACATACTAGCAAGGCATATTATTTACTTAAAAGATTTCCCTTATTGTTCTCAAATGCCAATCAACGCTCCGTTAGTACTTCATATTCTGCCTTCATTTTGAACTCGATTTTTTCTTTATGCACATGGAATTATATTTAGAAATTACCCCTGTACGACTGCATTCTCATAAGTCTTTACAGCTGAGCAAAAAAAAAAACCCGGCTGAACTGATCATATGGCAAGGATGTGAGACAACAAATGGACAAAGCGGATTATTGAATGGTATCCACTTAGTATTGGACAAATAAGGCTGACTTGAATAGCTAGCTATATCGGATTATGCAGGAAGAGGGGCTCGAAACAGAGAAGGGAAAGGAGAAGCTGCCAGCTGCTACCATGGTGAGAAGGTGGGCAAAATGACGAAGTGTATTAGCAAATTTAAGCAAGGGGCAAAATCTTAAAAAAAAAGGAAAGAACAAACTTTTAAAAGCAACTGATATTTCGTTATCCTCTGAACTGGTTTCAGCAAATAAGCACTTAATGGTAACGGATGCCCGGCTCGTTTTTGACATTCCTAAAATCCATTCACGAATATTTCACGAAAAATCTGCATTATTCGTGTTATAATCACGCAGAAAAAATACTGAATTTTACGAAAAACTACTGAAATCCACTAGCGCGAAGGACTCATTATCCGCAGTTTTAACGATCTTACAGAACCAGCATAACAAAAGCTGTCAGTAATAAATTTCTGACTTCAAAAACCAAATATGAAAAAAAAAATGCGCTACGATAAAAAGCAGATTCATTAAACTATTCAAAATTTTTGATAAAAAACGAAATTTGAGCAACTACCCATCGTAATGGCTCTTGCCTCCCCCCTCCTCTCGCTCCCGTGTCTTTTGCTCATTTCTTGTCTATCTTCCCCTCCCCCTGGCCGCTCCCCCTCCTCTCCCTCCTTTCCGCATCTCTGCTCAAAACAAAAGAGAGAAGCTTGAGTACAAACAAAGTTAAGTGTAAAACCAAAAAAAAAGGGAAAATTTACGGAGAAAAATTTAGCCGCAGTTCCATCGGGTTGATCCCTTCGTAAAGCTTCACTGAGTGGT